ACAATGAATGGGCTTGAAAACATCTCTCTTTGAGACATGATTTTATGTATCCTAGGCTGGCCTCAAACCCAATAGGCAGATGAAGATAACCTTGAATTCCGGGGCCTTCTGCCTCTCCTCCTATACAGTTAGAGATGTGTATCCAGTCATGGACTCTTCTGGCAATAAATTCTAGTTCCCTTTCTTCTTTTGGGGGGAACACTGGAATTTGAAGCCAGAGCTTTAAGTTCTTCCATTGAGCTAAATACCTAACTTATGCCACCGGACCTATTTAAACTTTCGTGATACCCAGAATTCCATGGTGCCAGTTAGACAATGCTGTTGTGTTTCTTGCACCCTTGCAAACTTTCTTTCTACTCTGATAGAACAGGCTACACCCCCAAAGTGTAATTGTCTATTTCTCCAGAAGTTTGGGGTTCAAGGCTTTTGATTCCCGTTGTAAGGCCATCACATATTTAGGAGCATTAGACTTCTGCATGAATTGACTAGTTTCCATTTTGAAATAAGTAGTTTTGGTTCTAGTAATGAAATGTATTCTGTGATAAATTCTGTCCAGATGGAACTCTTATTTCCAGTCCTGTTTCAGTTGTTAATGTCAGGCCATGATAACTGACCATCTTTTGTGTAACTGTCTTCATTGTTTCTTCATGAATTCCCTTCAGGATGACAAGTTTTATCATATAAATAGCAAAAATGGGGAGCTAATGACATGGCTCAGTGCTTAAGAGCACTTGCTGCTCTTCTAGAGGACCCAGGTTTGATTCCCACAACCCACAAGACAGCTCTCAACCATATATTCTTCCAGTTCCAGGGATCTGACACCCTTTTCTGGCCTCCATCAGACACTGCCTGCATGTGGTGCATGGACAAATATGCAGGCAAAACATTCATATACATAAAATCAAGGAGTAAAATTAAAACAAACAAAAACAAAACAAAAGCCAAACAAACAAACAAAGATGTCAGTGACTTATTAGCTTGAGTGTTTTAGACTATGTTCTCTGTCCTCCTTCCTGTGTCATCCCTCCTCCCCACCCCCACCCCCACCCCCACCCAACCCTGCTTCTGTAAAGAGGTTGTATTTTCTGACCCAGGGTCACTTTTCAGTCACATGACTTGCTTTGACGAAAGAAATGCAAGTGTAAAAGGGGAGAGAGTCTGAAAGAGCCCGTGATGATTAATCTTCACTACTGACTGGATCTAGAATCACCTCTAGGTGATTAACAACCGGCCTCTAGGTGTGTCTATGGGGCAGTTTTCAAAGAGGTTTGAATGAGGATGGAAGACTCACCCACCCTAAATGTGGGTGGTGGCATCCATGGGCTGGGTCCCAAATCAAATAAAGAGGAAAAAAGAAAGTGAGCTTAGTACCAGGGTGCATCTCTGCTTCCTGACTGTGGACATAATTTGACTAGTTATCTCAGGAGTCCATTGCTGTGCCTTCCCCATGATGGTCTGTAACTAACTTCTCAAACCATGAATTCAACTAAATGTGCTGCCCTCAGGTTGTGTTTGTCAGCTGTTGTATCTCAGTGATGAGATAAGTAGCTACCAGAGCCCATGTGTGCTTCTGTCACTTCAGTTTCCCTGAAACCTGTGCACCTGGCTCAATCTGCTTTCTTAATATACATCTTAGGATGATGGTGATAGAGCAGAGCAGGACCAAGTTGACGGGTAAAGCCACGAAGAAAGAGGCCTCGGTAAGAATGAAGCAGATCCTGGGGCTACTTGTTACCACTGTGTTCCTTGGCTAACACTGTCTGTTTCAATGTGTTCTGTCTCTCTTTCATTGCCTATAAACACAACGCAAAAACCCCATAAAAGCTTCCTCACTAATTATGTCTCTCACAAAAGCCCACCGAGTAATCCAGAATCTCACATTTCGATACAAACATTTCCCTCTCCCTCCTCACCATCCATAAACACCAGCGCTTACCTCTGTGAAGTAACTTCTTAAGAATTCCTCATTCATTGCAACAGCAGCTCCTCGAGCCCCACCCATGTCTCTGGAAGCCCCCGTGGCTCTTGCTATCCTTAGTGTTTCATTGGCTGCAATGGCTCCTGCTGTCCCTACGAGGTGAGTGGCCTCGGTAGTAAGGAGGCTTCTGTGTTCTTCCCATCTTCCGTCAATGTCAGACAGCTCATGCTGTCCTTTGGTAAAGGAAGCTGAGCTACTGCCTTTCACCATGTTTTCCTTGAGTATTGCACCTCCTGCACCTCCTACTCCATTTCTCACTGCCGAATTCCCCGCATGATCCGTCACCAGGAGTGATGGCACCACCTAGGGATCAACACAGCTCAGAGATGAATCCCAAGGACAAAGGGTCAGTGTACTTGGCAGAAAGATATGAGCTAAGTGGATATAAGGAGGGGTAAACTATTTCTTCCTAGGTATATTAGAAAACACCTAGGGTAGGACACATCCATTGGAGTCTTGTGAAGGATTTCTTCTTTCTGCTTTAGAGCTGACTATAACCCATGGAGGACACAAGCCCAGATTTCCTTATGTGGTCTTGGTTCACTCTCTTTACCAGAACCAATAGTATCCACTTCCCCTTTGGGGTCTTCTGTTACAGTTACAAAACTCTGAAATTTCAGCTGGACACATGGCCATTCAAAATGAAGACTCTGTTTCCAATCTTCCATTGCTACCAGATAAGAGTCTCTTGCCTTCTGACTAAAGAAAACCAGCAAGAAATGGTATATGCAACTCACAAAAAATGTGCCTACAGATCTGTTCTTCAGGATGTTTCAGTTGCTTGCTCCAGTGTGAGGACAGGAACTAGTGTCTGGAATGGAACCCATCTGAGGAGCATCAGGAAGGGGGGTTGAGTGGGGCATGTGTTGAAGGATCTCCATGTTGATTGATCCAGGACTGCCCCATTTCCTCACTTATTTTTATTTGTTTAGACAAAAATGTCACTGTGTAGTCTAGACTGGTCTTGAACTTGTGACCCACTTCTGTTACTCTCCCAAGTACTGGGATTATAGTGATGGGTTGCAGCTTGAATACAAAATGTGTTTGATCACTTGGTCCTCAGCTGGTGGAATGCTTTGAAACATTGTAGAGCCATAAGGAGGTGGAGCTTCACTACAGGAAGTGGGTCACTGGGGGTGGAGCACTTCCTGTCTGCTCTCAGCTTCATGATCACAGATGCAATGTGACCAGCCTCATCACACTTATGCTACCAAGCCTTCCTTGCCATGCTGGACTATATCTCTCTAACTGTAAGCCAAATAAGCCTTTACTCCCTTAATTTGCTTTGTTGGATATTGTTGTTGCAGTAACAAGGAAAGCAATTGTGGTGGTTTGAAAGAGAATGCCCCCCAAAGGGAGTTATAACTTTGCTGGAGTGGGAAAGGCCTTATTGGAGAAAGTGTATCACTGTGGAGGTGGACTTTGAGGTCTTATATATACTCAAGCCACACCCAAGTGTCTCAGACTACTTCCTGTTGCCTACAGGTTGAGATGTAGGGATCTTAGCTCCTTCTCCAGACCATGTCTGCTTGCCTGCTGCAGTGTCCCATTAAGATGATAATGGACTAAACCTCTGAGCTCTAAACCCACCCATTAAATGTTTTCCTTTATAGCATTTGCCATGGCCATGGTGCTTCTTCACAGCAATAGAAACCCTAACTAAGAAGTAATCAACATGGAGAATCACCAAGCTCCTCTTTGCTGACATTCAGTTTCCTGACACTTGCTGTTGAAACACATCCTACAGGAATGGTACTTGTGGCAGATGAAGAAGAGAGACTCCATGGTGAAGACACAACAGAAGCTCAGGGGAGCTGACTATTAAATGATAGGAAAGGGATTTGGGAGCATGTCATAAGCCTCTTGGTGGCTGGGAGTTTACATCTGTCAACTGACTATACTGAGAATGGAAGTGGTTCAGATCTGGGTATGAAAGGACCATTTAATAGCAGGGCAGACGTTCCTAGTCTAAATTCCCACATGCTCTTGCTCTCCCTCTCTTGCTCTTCGCAGTTTGGATCACCTGCTGGTTTTGGGTCTGCATTCTCATTAGCAAGTATATATCACAGTACAGTCAAAGCCTCTCAAGTCTCCTCTGGCAAACAAGAGAGAATACTCTATCACCTGAACTGCTGTTTAACAAAGGCATGTGTGTGAGATCTCATGACTACTGCATGTGCATGGGATTTAATGACTATTGTTCTGTCTTCACCATCACACTACAACACCAACTCAGGCTCCTGTGACCTTGAAAGGTATAGGGCTTTTCCTCACCAGTAAGCGGGCAGTCAATTTTGCAGTGGACATCAGTTGGGTCCCTCTGAATGCTAGCTCGTAGTGTACATATTTCACAATTCAACAGCTATGTCAGTATCTCATGACCAAAAATATTGCAAATACCCTCTAAATAAGACACCTTAAAAATCATAAAATAAAGCTGGGCATGGTGGTTCACAGCTGTTTTCCCCACACCCAGAAGCTCAAGACAGGAGGATTGCTCTGAGTTCAAGGCTAGTCAGGTCTAGAGACTGAGACTGTTCAAACTCCCCACATTCCCCAATAAAATCAGACCAGAAAGCATGTTACATCACTGTCTGATCAACTGACCTTGTCCTCAGGTGGTGCCCCTTCATTATTCCAAGGGTGCAGCATCTCTATGGTCCCAGGAATGGGGGTGAAGCCTTTGGCGCCCTCTCCACAGTGGCATATCAGCAGCAAGAGTGGCACAACTGTACAGAGCAAAGCAGAGTCCGGAGGTCTATTTTACAACCCAAACCACATCACTTAGAATTCATGCTGGACTTCTTGTAGCCCGGTCTTCACTCACTTAAAGCTTCAATCTGTCCAACCTTGCTATGGTTGAATTACAGCACAACCTGAAGGCAGACAGAGCCCTCTGACTCAAATGGCTTACTCATCACAGACAGCGTGTCTCTGGCTAGTGAGTCAGATATTGTGATTGAATGAGATCATATGGAAATCAGAAAAACCAAGGTAAAGATGGAATGTTTTTAAACTACTGTCCAAAATTTTTTTGTAAGTGTACAATCTAAAAGATACATATCACAGTGATCAAAAGTAGCCAAGAATGGCAGTACATGCCTGTGATCCCCCAAACACGTAGATGCTGGAAAGGCTGAAGCTGGAGGATTGCTGTGAATTTGAGGGCAGCCTGGGCTACAGAATGAAATCTTGTCTCTAAAGCACCATCTAAAACAAACACATCCACACAAACCCTGGGGGAGGGGGGGATGGTAACAATGGACTAAAACATAACATGTTCTAGAACATCAAAGCTATTGTACTTTACCTCAGAAGGGGACTTTGCATAAGACTGGACTCTTAGATGCTCCAGCTCACCTTTCAATACCTAAGTACCATTTTCTTTTCTTTGATTTTTATTTTTTATTTTTCAGACAGGGTATTATATAGCCCAGGCTGTCCTTAAACTCAATATGTAACTGAGAAAGATCCTGAAGTTCTGACCCTTCTGTTTCCACTTCTTGAGTTCTGGGGCCCACCAACTTTTAGTTTTATGTAATTTAGAAGCTAAGCCCAGGCATGCTAGGTAAGCAATCTACCACTGAGCTACACAGGCAGCTCCTACAGTGATCAAGTGTCCTGGGCTGAGTGACAGGTTAGGCTTCAGGGAAGCGGATGGGAAGCCAGCGTATGGAATCCCTGGGTAAAAGATGCATACCCAACTCCATGACAAGTCAAAACAAGTCACTCACCAGCAAGTAGAACAGATGGGTTGGAGGTCCACTGTAAATTGTTGAGTTCTGTGCATTTAACTAGCTATCTACAAGTGTCTGTAATTGGCCCCTCCTCTGTCCATGGGGATAGCCCATGCTGTCTGGGAAGTGGTGCTTTGCCCACGTGCAAGTAGACTGGGACTTCAGGCAACCCCAGGTCTTCAAAACTGAAGAGAAACCCTGTCTCGAAAAACCAAGAAAAAAAAAAGTTCGGTAATGGCATTTCACATTATTTAAACAAGCGTTTAAACACACTTAGAGACATCAAAAAGTAGTGGAAAAATCCAACAAACCTTTCTCTGAACTATTTGAAGGTAAGCAACAATAGGTAATAAGATGGTCACTGGTAACGGTGCTGTAAACCTTTCTGAAACAAACACTGCTGGCTCAATAGTCTTCTGGGTAGTGTTTTCTACATCTGACACTGTCCCAAGGACACACCAAAGATCACATCAACAAGAGGAATATGCCCAAGATCTAGTGACTGTGTCCACTGGCATCAAGTTAGCATGAGTGTTAGACCCTTTGCCAGGCAGGTCATGGCCATCACAACCTAGCTTTGTGTCTTTCAACAAGTTACTACACCTGGGTTAGGCCAGAGTTCTCCACCCACCATCAGGAAATAATGTGACTGAGCAAGGATTGGATGAGATAGTGTATGCAGAGTCTGGCACACAGTACATGCTCAATAAACGGGATCTTAAACGGAATTATCATGAGTGCATGTTACAAATGTATGAGTGCTATACATAAGAAGGCTCTAGTCTCCCCAGGTTATGAGACAAAAGTACTTGAAGGGATCCTTGGAGCAACCTCAGCCACCTTTAAGACCTATCTTTACTTTCCATAGTTCTGTAAGAGGAGCTGAGATACTACTGCAGATTCAGAGCCTCATTTTTTAAGCCCCTTGAAAATTATATTGGGGATTACATTGGGAGTACAACTTGAGAGATGAAACATGGCCTCCATTATCACTGTGACTATTATTTTTGATACAGGGTCTCACTGTATTGCTCTGGCTGGGCTGAACTCCTGATGTAGACTAAGCTGGCCCTGAACTCACAGACACCTACTTGTTCTACCTACCAAGTACTGTGATTAAAGGCATCCCAAGTACTGTGATTAAAGGTGTGTGTCAGAACACCTGGCCAGAAGGTATACTAGGAATTATACTGGAAGAAAACTTGAGAGAAGAAACAGGCTATGTTATAAAAATCTTAGTTATCTATCATGCTATTTAATTTTGATGCAGTTAAAAAATGTACTTACTTTCTTGGTGTATTATTTTCCAGTTCCCAGATGTTCCAGGAGGGTGGTCAAGGATGGAGAAACTGAACGGCCCACTGTTCTGGGGTCCATCCAAGTCCTCTGCAGTGACATTCACATAAGGTGCATCCTCACAGATCTGCTGTACCGGCTCCACCAGTGTGGGACAATTGTCATTGATGTCTTCAACAGTGATAATGACCGTGCCAGTGATGGTTTTCTGAGGATGATCTTCAACATAATCCAGAGAGAGTTCAGACTCCCGAGTCTATCACTGACCATCCACACAATTTCAATACAGAAGCCAATTAGGTAAGGAGGGGGCACTAACCACTGAGGGCAACTCCCATCCCAGCTGGGTCTCAGATTTGAATCCATTTTAAGTCACTAAGTAAGCAAGAATCTGAAGGCTTAACCACTGAAGCCCTTTATACACGGAACACATATTCTGGTTCTGGAAGACAATATCTGAATGCATTCAGTCACACAAAACATCTGTTTAACGACTTACCACTGGATATAGCCACAACCTTTACAGTGTAGGTGCCATTCTGGACATATCTAGATTCAAAATCTGGAGTCTTCACAAGCTTAACTTCTGAAGTGACAGAATCCACGGAGACCCAGTTGTCTATATCTTCCACTTTGGCATATCTGTTACAAAACCAACACCAAATTCATTTTCAGTTCTGGATACATTGAGAATAGCATCTGTACCTCCTTCAGACTTGGCTATATCCCATTGTATATGTCCTTGTTATATGTACTGGATTTGAATATCACAAGGCAGTGGAATGGACTTATATTGGGATGTTGTCAATATTTAAAAATAACTCTAAAAACAACAGTGGTTGCCTTAGATCGAAGCACCTAAACATTTTGAGATACTGTATGTTGTTACGAACGATGACTTTCAACAGAATGGGCTAAAAGTAAAACCAATGCATCTCTGGGTTTCTCCTCTGTAAGTAAGGGAAATCAGTGTGAAAAACCAGCTGTAAGAAGGCACAGAGAAGCCTGGTGATGGTGGCACACGCCTTTAATTCCAGCACTCAGGAACTCAGGAGGCTGAGGCAGATGGATCTCTGTGGGTTAAAGACCAGCCTGGTCTACAAGAGCTAGTTCTAGGACAGAAAAACCCTCTGCAAAAAAAAAAAAAAAAAAAAAAAAAAAAAAAAAAAAAGCTACAGAGAACATGCTCATATTGTTTCCAGAATTACACACAGAGAGAACTATTGAGTTTAACACGTAGAAATACAAATACAAGGCAAACACGTGAGTCTCTTGGTTCAACCAATCAAATCAGGAATTTATTTTCTAGTAAGTAGCTATTCAAGCACACGAGAATGGATGGCTAATTTATAGTAGTATTTGTGTACACTATTTGAACTGCATTTCTTTGCCTATTATTATTTCTAGTAAATGATTATAGAAGGAGATCTGATCCAAAACTTGGGAGATGAAGGCAGAAGGATCAGGAGTTCAAGGTTATCCTTGTCTACATAGTGAATTCAAGGCCAACCTGGGCTAATGACACCCTGTCTTAACAAACAAACAACACCTAAAACTGTAAAAATAAAACTATGAAAAATAAAATGTAAAAAGCAAATGGCAGCACATTTGGATTTTCACAAGTACCTCTGACTGTCCTACAGGACTTTGAAAGCAGGCATTGGTTTGCCTGCCGTGCTTTTCCATTTTCATAGCCATTACATAATAAGGTCATCTAATCTACACGTCACAAAGGGATATGCTTTGTGACATGATTTAAGGAGCTTTGCAACTTATCTATTGTGGAACAAAGCATGGGGTGGCATAGCTGCTCACATTATATCAAATACCCATAAATTACTGAATGAATAATCAGCTCAATACCACACTATGGCAAAATGAATGACATAATTCTTTTGGTGTCTTCATTAAGTTTTTTAAACATTTTAGTATTTTAATATTAATTATGTGTAAGTGTGCTCATCTGTATGTGGCTTTGTGCATGTACAGGTGCTCTCAGAGGCCAGAAGAGGGTGTCAGAACCTCTGCAGCTGGAGTTACAGGTGATTCTGAGGCATCCATGGCTCCAGGAAGCAAACTGGGTCCTCCACAAAAGCCGCAGGTGCTCTGCAGTGTGGAGCATCTCTCCAGATCTCACCATCCACATGAAGAAGACTTCAAAAGGGCAGCTATTAATGAGCTAGGTGATTTAACTTTGCTGTGACTGGCTTACAAAGACTCACAGGTGTTAGCTGATGTCAAGGTCAGTCCTGTCCTAACAATCTA